GAGGAAGTGTTTTTGAGAACGGAGAGAGTATAAAATACCAATAAGCTAAAAAAATACTCCCTCACGAAGAGTATATGTATGTTAATATAAGACAACATAATACTCATTTCATTTATGCAGAATATACATTTACATGTAACACTGTTAAGAAACCAATTCAACCAAAAGCTCAAACTTATGGTTGTGACCCATGAATAGTTATTTATATTCTATATAACACGCTCCATCACGTGCAGGCTTAATCTTTTTCGAGTCTTGCACGTGAACCTTTAATTTCCTCAAAACTAGGTGGCGCTGAGTTTCGAATCTGTGACCTCTTAGTCAACAAGACTCGGATACCATGTCAAGGAACCAACTCAACCAAAAGCTCAAGCTTATGGTTGTGGCCCATGAAGAGTTATTTATATTCTAACAAACACATTTCTCATTTTAACTAAAAAACAATTGCACAAATAAATAAAGAAATATGCAAAAAAAAAAGGAATATTTATTTAATCATAAATGAATATTCATAGTGTATCAACTATTTTGTGTCATTTAATTAAAGGTGTCATGTTTTGTGTTCCAATTCCATCTTGCTTAATATTTGGAACGCTCTTAAGATCTCTACTATGAACATTTAGGACTAAAAAAAATTATTTACTTCTTCTAAACAATGTTTTATTAACTCTTTCAGGAAGAACAAGAGATTTACTGATAAAAAGTTTGTTATTATCATCATTTTGGCATACATTTTTATTTTGCACTCACAATTGGTGCATGGAGAAATTCCACCAGGTTGCCCCCAAGAACACGCTTATTGTGCATGCATGAAGAAGTGCTATTACGGTAATAGAGCACGAAACGGAGATCCGGATGACTACGGTTACTTGGAAAGTTTATGCGAACCGTTTTGCGATGAAACACTTCACACTCGCTGCATGCATTATAACACGGTGTGTTGGATATTCAATATTCCATACCCTCCTCCTCATCATGATTTATTTTAAATAAATATATTCATTTTTGAGTTACTTGAATCATTTGCAGCCTTTCCCCCCCTTTAGTTTTGAACTAATAAAAATTATGCTAGAATATATGGTGGTAAATACAAATCTAATGCTCATTAATAAACAAGGACAATTGTTCCGAGACAAATAACTAAGTTGCACGATCAATAATTTATCTAAAATTTTAAAATAAAGAATAAAGTTCATAATTGGTCTTTTATGACAATATTTTTTTTCATATTTAGTTTCCAATTATATATTAAATATTATATTCGTGATCCTCAACTTTTAAAAACTATTTCATAGTAAGTCCCATCGAAATAATATGTGGAAATGTTTTTTAAACCATTCCCTAAATACTTTGAAAAATATTTTTATAAATAAAGGACTATTTGACTTAATCCTTTTATTTTATTTTTTCTGTTAAGATAAAGATGAAGAGGACAAGATGGAGGTGCATATATCTATAAATTATGGAAGCTAAGACCTTCTCCAACATGTCTCAAACTCAAATCCAAAATGTAATAAATATCTAATCAAATACTCCGTAGCAATTTATCTCCAACATATTATTACACCAAACTCAAATCTTAAACAATATTCTCACTATATATTTTTTCCTTATTACTTTTTATACTTCAAGAATTTTAAAAAAAGAGTGCATAAAAATTTGGAGTAATAAGTAAAAAACAAAAAAAGATTCTAAAAGAAAAATAAAAAATTAAATAAAAACAAGAGTGATTAATGTCGAAAATGACAAATGGTTCTAGGCAGGCCAAGAAACACTGGTAAATCATAAGCTTTAAATAGTAACTAAGACTTTTGTTATTACACGATATAGTAATTGAGTAATCAAAATAAACAAAAAACTAAAGACACAGAGATTTAACGTGGTCAACATTGTGTTGGTTACATTCACGGGAAAGAACGGAGGCGGATTTTATTATGATACGTACAGGTTCGTGAGTACAGTGTTCTTGTGCTCTATCTCTATATAAATAAACACACAAAACGGTTAGACTCAATACAATGATTAGAGCCCAATACAACAACATAGCATACCGTCATGCCGGGGGCGACTCCGCCCCTGGACTCCAGGCAAGGGAGCATCGCCCTTGACCCCCTGACTCGTTGACCGGGCAGCGAGACCCCGTTTACTAATCTGTAGAGCGGTAACACAATATAGATTCAAGGCATATTAACAACTTTAAGCCATTAGTTTTCTCTACGCAATTACAAAGAGGTTTAATTTTTTCAATTAATAGGACTACTTTTCCAATGCTCATCCACATTTACCCCTTTAGATTTTAAAGTCTAAAAAATCATAATTCATCTTCTTAATTTCTTCAAGAAAATCAAATTCATATCAAATATCAATCCCCTAAACTACATGCTCGAATAGTCCAAAAAATATCATGATCCGAAATGATTTTCTTTTTTTTTATTCAATTCATAAATTGGGTGACATAAAAAACCACATAAGTCATAAGTATAGGTAATGTTACATGTCAGCTCCTAGCAATACCACAATGTAGCATCTTAAAATTTGGACTCTTAAATTTATAAATAAAGGAAAATGATCCAATATCAATTTATATTAATATATATACAATATAATATCACCCCGGTTCTCTTGACATTCCCGAACAATGTCATTGGATGACCCGGAAGCCATACGATGCTTCATTCATAAATTTGATGGTTCTCACCCTTCCTCTAACTTCCCCACTCGCCCCGCTCCGAACCCACCGCCCTAGCCTTTGATCAATTTCATCTTCCAAGTTTAGGGGGTGTATTGAATCAGGAGTCTGTAGGATTTTTTTGGATATTTAAAATCTATGTGTATTCAATTTGGATTTTCAAAAGTTTTTAAAAATCTTGAGGTATTCAATAGTGATTTTCCAAAGTCTTTAAAAATATTAGAGTATTCAACTTGGATTTTCAAAAATCTTCAAAAATTTTGAGGTATTCAAAAATCTACGAATTGTAATAGTCTATGAATTTTGTTAGATTTTCTCCTAAAAAATGCTTACATTTTCACATCTATCTGGCGTCCGTCCATTCATCCATGGACTAAAGGAATCTTTTATTTTTTGCTTGGCCTTCGTCGACTGTTCATGTAATTCGACATATGGTTACCGTTCTTCTTCTCCACCTACGATTTCCCAGAGGTCTGAGTCGCGGAGGTGCAGCAGAATGATGACGAAGCTGAACTCCTCTTGTCGCAGTGGAGATCGGAGCTAGGGCTCGAAGACGAACAAGTTGGGTGAGGCGGCGGTTTGGCGGAAACCCTTTTGGTGACGTTGTTCTTCCTGATTCTGACATCGGGATGATTTTTGTCCTTAACAGAAGAATCCGATAAGTAGGTCTTAAAGTTTGCCGACGGAGTTTGCCGCCTTCTGGTTCAAATTGTAATTCCTTAAGAGCATCTCCAACCATCTTGCTTTGGCTTGCTAAAAGCCATAATATATCAAGTCAACTCATTTTTCTCTTGCCCAATGGGTGTTTTAAACTTTAGCAAGCTTGGCAAAAAATAACTTTGGTTTGCTAAACAAGCTCTTCAAATTATAAGAAGCCAATAGTTGTAGAATGGATTAACAAATCATGGGTGAAAACTCCTTAAATAAAAGCAAAATACAATGAAAATACAAACATAAGAGTAACAATTTTTTATAACCTAAACAAGAGTTGACATTGTCACTATTAACTGTTATTTGGAGTTGTCCTTTGGAAGTGCGTCTTTGAATAATTGACGAATCAGGTTGTAAGTCGTAACACCGTAAAGACAAGTTGTGATATGCTTTAATATTTTGCAATCTTGCGAGCGCATGCAGAGAGTTGTGACATTTTGGTCAACCATTTCATATGTCTCTGTATGTTCCTATTAACATACCCTTGGAGATTTAGGAGGGGCAATAACGATACGAAACAATGTTATAGAATCAAAATACGAAAAAGGTAAAAAACGTCTTGATAGACCTAATGAATCACGTATAAACACTTTTAGATTAAATTTATTTCGAAGTATACCAAAATACTTTAATTGAATAAGACCCAAAAAATTTAGAACACTTTGGAATTCCATCATTGCCTTGTGTCTTGTATTTATAGGTAAATTCTCGAATAGACATGTTGGTTGATAAAACAACATAATTTTTCGGATAACATTTGAATATTACTACTCAAACAAATTAAAGCGGAAAAGCTTGAATGGGTACTTATGCACTTAAATGCGAACTGTTACAACTTATTGCGAAATATTAAAATATTTGGGCTCAAACATTCGAATGTATGAGACAGTTTTGCACGTGATGCTTTGGATAAATACAACATTTGAATTTATTGATTTATACATTCAAATATTCATTATTTTGAACTTCATATATGAAAATCCAAAGGATTTCCATAAAGGTAGTACGTCCAAACTAATTTTTCCCAAGCTTGGCCCCAATTAGGGGCTCTTCTCCTTGGTCCTGCCAGAGGCGCGACTAGCGCCCCTTAATTGGACCCCTCTCCTAGGGACTGTCGTCTCAAACATCCGCTATAAAATTTGTAATATAATCGAATGAACATGCACCTTCAAATTTATTTACAACACTTATTGAAATTTTTTCTCTATTCTTAAAAAATTCAATTACATAAAATAGACGATAACACTAAAACTACCAACACACTAGTGTTAATCCCGTGCTTCGCACGTGCTCGTATACATTCTCACCTGTTATGTATATTACCTAATGACTTATATATCATTTATGTCTATCTACACAAATATAACTTATAAATATCTTATAAGTTAAAAATTATTTAAAAGTAATAAGTTAATAACTACCAGCACATAAAAATACCTTGATTCTAATGAATAAAAAATCGCATTATTCATAAAGAATCAATTACAAAATCTAGAGTATATAGTTTTGAAATTAGGTGAGATTAATTAAAAATAGGTGAGATTAATTTAAAAAAAAAAGAAAATCTAAATCTAAAAGAACCTAAAAGCCGGTAGCCGGACTCCATATTACTCCGCATTTGAGATTACCCGTATATCCTTTGCCTCGCCCAATTCTGACTTGAGTGGAGAGTCCAGCGAGCAGAGGGGTTTGTGAGTCGTGTGTTGCTTGCTGCGCACAGGCGAATTAGGAAGAAAGGACGGCTTGACGGCGACCGGCGACGGCGTAGCATACATTTGCGCCTTGCGGAGTCTGTGACGGTCGATTGGGGGTGGCTGAACGTCTTCTTCTACATTGAATTTCAGAAATCCGGCGGCTGGGCTACTCAGATTGGGCCAAGGCCGGACGTCCTCTTCTTCTCCGAGGAGCTAAAGCAAATCCGCAGTCAAGGCTCCAAGTCTCCGAACCAATTATCCAGGTTTGGTTAAACCCTAATTTCTTAAACCCTAACATATGGTTAATGATGTGAATTTGTAATTTATTTGTTTAAGACACTTTTTATATGCAGAGTTTTTAATTTTAGTTATCTATGTCCAATCCTTGAATGTTAGTTTGTGAATTTATTTAGAGTCAATTCTCTCAACCTTAGATTCAGGCATCTTTTCCTCAGTAGATGTAATATCTACGATGTGTGGCTTCTACTTGTCTTGCCATTACAGTAAAATCAATGTCTAATTTACTTGTAGATATTTCACTGGCACATCGTTGTCTTTTCATTAACGCACAACTTTAAGGTTTGATTAGGACTGCTACATAATTTTGGTATCTTTCATAACTTCATTGCATGTGTTTTGTTATCTATATGGAATCCACTTGGATACACATATGTTAAATATATACTAAAAGCTGTTCTTGTTTTCATGATTTTCCGATCTTATCATATTAGTTTGTGGTTCAGTGAAGTGTATTTTATATTTATTATTTGTGACGGGTCTAAAAAATTCGAGCTTTGGAGCTTCATATGATAGGCATCTCTAACTGATGGAGAATGTTCATTGGGATTCAGAACATGTGTTCAATGAGTATGCAATAATTTTATAAGCCACATTTTACAAATGTCATTGGCTTATGAACTCAGTGGGGAAGTATTCTAGATCTTGAAGGAAATAATGGGAGAGTTTATGTGTTGCACATGATGTTTTCCTAGTTTCATAGTTGATAACTGAACAAGATTGTTTTTAAAGTGTAGTACACCTTGTGTGTATCTGTCTGTACCTGTAATTTGCAGCAGTTGACTGCTCTGAAAGGATTCTGTTGTTAGAAAGGATCTAATAAGGCAGCATAGAGGAATGCTTTTTTTTTCTTCATATTTTATGGTTGGGTATCACACACAGGAAGTGACAAAATAATAACCGAACTGTTAAGGTCTATAAATGAGGCAGTTCAAGGAAACTTGATAACTGAATTCCCTGCTCGTATCCCTTATGATATCACTGTTTGGTTAAGTTTGAACTACTCATTTATACAGTTTTTCTATGTGTTCTCACTGTCCGGGATTGGAAATTGTGTTCCTTGAATTTAAATGTATGATTGAATGCTTAAGTTTCAAGGATATAATGCTAAGATGAGCAGTGGTTAATTTTTTGTTTTACTTATGTATTTAACAGTGATATTTTAGAAGCTGTTTCAGAAGAACTTTTTCCCTTGTTTCGGCTAACTCCATGGCTGAAATTGATAAAAGCATTGATGTGCACGAACATGATGGATTGCCAGAGTTGGCACCAGAGCCAGGGCTAGAGCATGAGCCACAGATGGAGCCCAAACAGGAACAGGAAGCAGAAGCAGAAGAATCTTACCCCGAACAAAGGCCAGAAACGCAGGATGCTTTGGCAACTGGAGGTGGAGAAAGGTGGTATGGGTGGCCAGGAGAAAGTGTATTCAGAATGTTGGTTCCTGCCCAAAAGGTTGGTAGTATCATTGGACGGAAGGGAGAGTACATAAAGAAGATGTGTGAGGAGACCAAAGCTCGAATTAAGATTCTTGATGGCCCTTCAGGAACTGCTGAGAGAGCTGTAAGTTCAACCACTTCAACCCTCTGTTACACGGTCTTACTGTTTTCCCTGGAAAACCATTATATCCATAAGCCACATGCATTGTCACTTTGATTATCTTTATCTATCAGCCTTTATCACTTGTTTGCACCATATCAGTTAAAGTTTTTAATTATTCATTTTTCAACTTAAACATATGGTGGCAAATAGTGTATTAGAAAGCTAGCTTTTAGATGTCTTTAACTTCAAAATGAAATAATATCCTTATGGATGTTCTTGGGACTCGACTGGTACACTGGTAGTGCTTAGCTTTTTCTGAATGATTCAACTAGTCAAGCAAAAAAATGTCAAAGATATTTTGTGAAAGGACTCATTAGTATAGGATTGCTATGTTACTTTCAGGAGATCAAGTGTACTGTTTTTAAAAATGTGACTAAAATTCATAAAAAATGCATGTAATTATAGTATGATTTTTTTATCAATGTATTCAATTATGGCAATTGGATAGGTTAATGTATTGCATTTGAGATCGTGACAAGTCAAATGAGGAGATGATTTTAGGATGAAGGAATTTGAAAATCTAAGTTGCACAGAGACGAGTACGAGAACATGCACTTAGACAGGGACGGGGTCTAGGATGGATAATCACCAATTTCTGAAATTATATGCATGATCTAGGTGTCAGGATGTCTCTCTCAGTACCCAAGCGGGAATGTTTGAGAGATGGGAAGTGCAACGTTTATTTGAAGAATTCGTCTAACATATCTGACAACCCATAATTATTTTGCACTTAAGCTTTATAGAAATTAAACTATTCCCATGTTGCATCCTACAATCCTTAGATTGTTCTTTTCATCATTTACTTAAACAAGATGAAGGTTATGGTGTGTGTAGTTTTCTTACTTTTTTCATTCTTATGAAGGTTATGGTGTCTGCGAAGGAGGAGCCAGATGTTTCTCTACCGCCAGCTGTAGATGGTCTTCTCAGGGTTCATAGACGTGTTGTGGATGGGCTGGAGAGCGATTCATCACATTCCCCACGTACTTTAAATGCAAAGGTATCAACAAAGCTGCTTGTCCCTGCTGCTCAGGCAGGTAGTTTAATTGGAAAACAGGGATCAACTGTCAAGTCCATTCAGGAAGCTTCTAATTGTATTGTTAGAGTTCTTGGATCAGGTTCTTCTTCTTCTTCTTCTTCTTCTTCTTCTTCTTCTTCTCTTCTTCTGGCTTTTATTTATGCTTCATATTCTGTTTTATTGGTTGTTTTTGTAAATGCTGAATGTATGGGAGATTAAGGACTAGGGAGTCTAGTGCAGGAACATGAAAAATAATAAGAATATTGATAGAGCGTAACCTCTAATGAGCTATGAGCCTAAGAGAGCTGGTAAGAGTATCAGTGAATTGATCAAGAGAACTATACACAATTTGTAATGTTGCCTGATCTTCCCATCTTTATTGTTATTTGCTATATTCAATTACCTTCTTGGTAAAAAGTAATTACTGTATACTCCATTCGACCAAATTTTTTCCCCCCTGGTTTAGATTCACTATTTTTTTTGGCTTTGGGGTATGATAAAAAAAGAAAAATGGGTCTTTAAACTGCATGTGATTCTTTTATAGTTAAGTCACAGTTAGTCAATGCCCATTATGGGTCATTGGAAACCGTCACTCTATGTTTGAAACATATAGATCAGGCTGCTTATAACCCACCCCCCTTATCCTGCAATGAGCAGGAGCCTTTGAGGTACTGGGTTAATGTTGTTGTTTGTTGTTGGTTTGGCCTGGTACACATATTTGTGCAACTTAAAAATGAAATTGACATTCTATCATTGCCTTTACTTTTATTTAAAGAGAGATACTTTTGAATTGATAAAGTAGATAGTGTAGGTTTGATAGATAAGCATTGAAAAATCTAAAGTACAACTATCAAATCAAAAGCTCATTCACACGCCATTGAGCATTCGTACTACACATACAAAAAATTCATTTCCCTCCAGATCACTCAAAAATTCTCAATGAAATTTCATTTAAACACCCGATCTTACTCCATGCATACTTTTTACGGCCCGGTTCCAGTGACACTGGAATCCGGTGCCACTGGCATTTTGGGGCACCTCCGGTGCTCTGTTCGCAAAATTGACGGTTCCTACCCCCCCTAACCCACCCCCTAAACCCCCCACCCTACCCCTGCCCTTGCACCCCCACCCCAACCCCGCCGTAAGCCCCCCACAAAATGTGTGGCTATTATGC